GCTGGGCATCCTGCTACACCCTGGCACAGGAGGCACCATCTGCCAAACCTCCTCCTGAGCAGCACTTCAGCAAGTGGGCTAAACACTGAAAAGAACATCCCACCCATGGCAGCTGAAGTCCATCACAGCTTGCTCACACGATTCTGGCTCTGGAGGGAGGCTGGGCAAGTGGCCAAGAAGCCTCTCTTACTCGCCCATGTTGCTCTTTGGGGAAAGGGAATCCTGGTTTGGCACGGCCAGAGATGGCTCTGGGCAGCAGGGCAGTACCAGGGAGTGTTGGAATTCCCTCATCCCAGGTGCAGCCCAGCCAAGAAGATGGAACTGCATTAACTGGGTTCACCAGGGAGTGGTGGCTGGTCCTGGATTCTTTGAGGCCACTGGTGTGTCATCAGCTCCAAAAGCAGCAGATCTCTTGTGTTTTATCTGCAAGGGGAAGGGAGGGGAAGGTTTGGGAAGGTTGGGGAGGGAAAGGAAGGTTTGGGAAGGTTTGGGAAGGGAAGATTTGGGAAGGGAAGGTTTGGGAAGGGAAGGTTTGGGAAGGTTTGGGAAGGTTTGGGAAGGTTTGGGGAGGTTTGGGGAGGTTTGGGAAAGGAAGGGTGAAATGGTCTCCATGCTTTTTTTATTTCACAGGCTTCCTCCCTTGTCATGCCCTTTTGTTATCCCCCCTCCAAGAGGACATTTCTGCTCCAGAATGTGGTTGTTCTTGGAGCAGTGGAGGGGTCACTGGGCCTCACTGGGGGGTCACTGGGGCTGTGCCCTTTGCCTCTGAGGAGGGCAGAGCTGCAGAGGTCCAGATTCTTCCTGATGATTCCATGCAAGAGCTAATTAATGGCCTGCCCATGTTTCCATGGCAACTCCCTGTTGTGCTCTTAGCCCTGATCCAAATGGACACTCTGTACACTTGTGCAGCCATAGCATCAGCATGTTAATAAGACTTGCTGACGTCTTTTGCTTTCTGCCACACCGGCTGGTAAGTCTAAATTTGAATAATTTAAAAAGAGCACATTTCTTGGTAAGCTCCCACTGCATTCCCTCATGTGACTTGAAGCAATTGATCCCAGAATTCTTCTGCATTTGAAGGAAAGAAGCAGGTAGGTTCTGCCCTTTTTGCCATGCTTTGGCTTTGGGACACCTGGCATCTGGCTTTCCTGGTTTTCTCTGGGTTATTTGGAAGCTCCAGCTTTCATGCAGTTCCTGATTTGATGACAAGAAGGGACAAGTATCTGCCCTGAATTGGTAGGACCATCTCTGCATTAGCTGATCTTGACAATCCGATGGATTGCTCCCTAACTCCTTCTTCTGTAGAGGAAGCTGGATTTCATTCTCATGCAGTCAGAGGATAGTTGCTGTTATTTGAGAGTATGAATATCCCTTTTGTCATTAAACTCTACAACAGTATCTACTGATCATGCAGGATAGTGAATGTAGTGTTATGTGTGAAAGGATTCTCTGGGTCCCACCTAATTCTCCTCTATTAGTTACCCTCCATTCTAATAATTGTCTTGAGAACCACCTTTTTCTGATCAAGTGGAGTGGCCCTGGACATAATTTGCTCAGAAGCCCATTGACACCATTAACAGCACTGGTGTGGCCTCTCCAGGGGCACCTGAACTGCTTTCTCTTGTTGAGACAGAAGTATCCCAGATGCTTCCACATCTCTTACTGCCTGCAGAACAAATTCCCTAAAATCTCTGGGATCTGTTTCTGGATCTGGCTCTCACAGCCTGTCCCCCCACCTGGGGAAAAGCTTATGGGACTGGGCAGTGGAAGAAGAGCATGTGCCCTCTAATTTATTTCCTGGCATCAAAGGCATCATCCAGGCCATGTTTGATTGAGTTGTTTGGTTTTGGTTTTCCATTTTCTCACTGACATAAAATTTGAGCCCAAAATGGTGGTTGAGCTGCCAAATAGCTGCATTTCCCCCTGCACTAAAGGACATGGGAATTTATTCCTGACATTTTGGCTTCATTCCTTCACAAAATTTCATCTGGCCATGCTGGCACATGGCTCCCCATTGCTGTGCTGATGTGCCATCATACCCAGGTGCCATGGTGCACCACCAGGTACTCCCAAGGCGAGTTCCACGTGCTGACAGCAGTTCTGTGCCAAACTTCCTTCTGTCTGTCTCCCTGCACTGGTTTTCCACACTCCATGGGAACTTCATGATGGGAATATTGGCTCATGTTAGTGCCTCTCTAACCCCACACTGTCCACTGACTGGGACAGCAAGGATTTAACGTTGGGTTGGCACCCAGTGTCTCTCTGAAGATTTATGGAGTTGCCCCCCATTAATTCTGAGGGCTGCTCCTCCCAAGGCACCATTAAAGATACATGAGGGCAATTGATTTGATCCCTAACAGTGCCACAAATACCAGGCAAGATTTAGGTAATGTGTTCCTAGTTACCCACGAGATCTGAGATTTAATTGCAGCTTCTTTGGCTTTGAGTCACTGGAGCTGGGTTCTTATCTCAAAGGAAGGAAATTTATCGAATTAATTTCACTTTGTGTTGGCACGGCCACTATTCCCAGCCATGAGCAAATCCCATCATTGCATGCAGGCTGCAGCTCAGGCTGGAGGTTGCTCATAAGCAGTATTCAGTATTTTTAGAGCAATAACCATAGTTCTTTTCAGTGTCAGCTCTTTGGGTCATACATGTAATTTAAACAGTACATTTCTATTCCCTGCTTAGATGGATGTAACTGTCAGGAACATTATTTCTACTCATAATTACAAATTTGACATTCATTTCCCATGAATACTCTCTGCTATTTGCTTAAAACTACCCTCCATGCATATTACTGCTGGTGAATTTTCTCTTATCAGAAAGCTGAGGCAGAAATGGCACATCTATAAAGAACCCTCTTTGAATGGTGGGGTCTGTACTATAAACCTCTTCTACACAAAGCAAAGACCAATCAAAAGGAAAAACAAACACTGGGGAAAGTAGGAAACCTTGTGACCTCATGTGTGGACTGACCAGGAGAGAGATGAAGAGATCTGGATGCAAGTTAAGGAAAACAAAGTTACTACTAAAGGAAATCAATGGATGTCCCTAGAAATTGTTGTTTAATTCACCCAGCTCTTCTTCTGATACATGAACTCCCCCACCTTTGGGCAGGCAGATAGGGACTGATGTGTGCTTTTGTGACTAGGACTTCTTTAGGGGTTTTCCTGCCCAAATAGCTTCTCTTCTGCCCTCAGTAACTACCCAGATTGCTTCTCTTCTCCCCTCAGTTGGTAGCTCAGCAGGAAAGTTCAGTGAATATCTATTTTCCTTAAGGTGTCCAATTCCTTTGCAGGAAATTTGGATGAGCATCAACCAAAATCACAGGAATTAAAGTAAACCTGAAACCAAACTTAATTGCCCAAGTCCCTGGTGTCACAGGAGTAACACCACAATGCATTTAGGTCTTCCCAGAAGAACTGATGTTGTTCTCAGAATCTGAGCCAAAGCCTCCAAGTAAGGTCAACATTTCTACAAAGCTATTTTGGGCTCAATCGAATCAACGTGTTAAATCTTGAGCCAAATCTGAATTTTGTCTGATTGGTCTGTCCCTCCTGCTCAGGCCTCTTTTGCTTTGGGATACACCTCCAGGTCTCAAAGAGTCGGGATCAGAGATTTATTTCTCCCTTCTCTGAGGGCAGAAATTCCAGTCTCCCACTAGTACTTCTCACAATCAACTTAAACTAAAAAAAAAAACAGTGAAATTAAGAGAAACACCTCACTACTCACCTCTCACAGTGTTCAGGCTTCATCACCCAGCTCAGCTGATCCTGCATTCACACGCTCCATCCAAAATATTATATTTTTAAAATCCAAACACACGGGCACACGCATTCCAAAAAATGTTACCCACCTTTTAGTTATTTTAGTTCTTTTTTTGATAACTCAGTCCTTTTTAATTTGGCTTTATCCTTGCAAACTCAGGGTAGATTTGATTGTTGTGCTCTTCCCTCCCACCCCTCCCTTTTACTACTTTTGCATATATTTTAATAAAATGTTCTCGTATATTTTCTGTATTTTCTTTTTTTTTTTTTTTTTTTTTTTTTTGTGGACAGAGAAAGTGTAAGTGAGACAAGGATAGTATTCACAGCCACAGAAACATAAGAAAGTAAAAGGGATTTTTCCTTCCCCAAAGAACAAAAATGACCTATGTACCCTTCAGTGTCTCCAGGTTTCCTTGGAAATGGATTCTCTTGCATTGTGCTTTGGTTTTGGTGGTGATGAGGGTTTCCCAGTGCTACTGGAAAGCCCAGAACCTGAGGCAGAAAGCCAGACTCAGGTTTGCCTTTAAGTCCAGGTTTATCAAAGTGGCATTATGATTTTGGCTTTCTCTGCTTTAGGAACGCTACTGAAGTACCTGAAAGATGAGTGACTGAAGATTTACAGGTGCTGCTCCTCCAGCTCTGGCACCACTGAAGGCACCAGCAGCCTCATGCAGGGCAGGAACTCCAAGCTGGCAAAACATCCGAGGGGACCCAACACGCCCCATTTTGAGTGTTGAGACTCTACCTCTGGTGAAAAGTGTTCCAAGATGGAAATCCCAAAGTGAACACTCCTGAGACCTGCACCCACCCTCCACCTCTTGTGTGTCTTCTCCCCAAGGAGGCATCAGTTTTACTCTCAAAGAACTGCCATCCCCACCTGTCCTCCAGCAAAGCTCAGCACAGGCTGCGGGAATAACTCAAGGTAAAGCTGGCGTAAATCTCAACAGAAGAAATCTCTTTTATCTTTAACCATTTACTCCCACTATAGGAATAATGGCAGCTCTTTTACATTTACATATAACTCTTGTTTGTTTGTTTGTTTGTATGCTTTGATTTTGTTTTTGTTCTGGTTTTTTTTTTTTTTTTGTATGTCTCTTTGTCTTGGCACCTGCATAGCAGAAAACTTTACAGTTCATTACAGAAGTTTGCCCCTCTCTCTGCTCCTCCCTTTATTTACTCTGCTGCCCCTGAGGACTAGCAAGCAACACCCCCAAGGTCAAGAGAGGGTAAGGTGTTACCCTTTTATGACGGATTATAGAAATAACAAACATGCCTGACAGTTTTATACAGCTGCTAGAATGGGTTTAGTTTTCAACAAATGAAGAATTTCCTCTTTTTTTTTTTTTCCTCTTTTGTATATTAATTACATTTTACAAACCTTGTTTTTCCCCCCTTCTCTTTATGCTTTCCCCCCGCCTCTCGTTCTTGCTTTTTCAGGTTTGTTGTTTTTTTTTTTCCTCTTTTTTCTCTTTTTTCTCTTTTATTTTTGTTTTTTTTTTGAATTTTTTTATACAGCAAAAGGATCGATTCACCAACATGTGTCCAACATGGATTAAGTCCTGGTTAGCAGAGTTTGGCCGTCATCTGGTCCGACTGTTTGAGGATCTCGGTGTTGTACAGGTCCAGGGCGTGGTTCACGCGGATGATCTCGCTGTTGGTGAGCTTCAGGCGGTGCTTGAGCATACAAGAGAACAGATCCAGCTGGGGCTTCCCCGGGGCCACGGGAGGCGCCAGTCTGTTGATTCGGTCCCGAATATCCAGCAGCAAGAGCATGACGGAGGAGGAGGAGTAGAACTGCCCGCCCTGCGTGTAGGACTGGTTGACCTGCTGCACCGCGCTGCGCAGCAGGTCGGCGTTGAAGCGCAGGCTGTAGCCATAGACCTGCACGTCCGAGATCTTGATGTAGAACTGGCGCTTGGTGGGGTCGGAGAGGTCCACGGGCCCTTGGCCAGTCTCGTTCCGCAGCAGGGAGGGCAGCCGAGTCCGGCTGCGCAGGTAGATGTGCACGGTCTCAAAAAAGGTTTTCCACCGGTTGCCCAGCAGCAGGGTCCAGTTGTAGCACTGGCTGTTTTGGAGGCGGATTTTCTCCCAGCGGGGGTAGCCGTACTCCCCGAAGGGCATGTTCCAGCCCTCCGAGTGGCTCCCGCTGAAGGGGTTGACGTAGACGAAGAACATGGGGTCCAGGCTGCTGTTGCGCATCTGGCAGATGCGCATGGAGATCCCGATCACCATGTGGATGAAGTCCATCCGGTTCTTGTTGCTCTTCAGGGTGAGGGACATGCGCTTGCGCCACCTGGGGTCGAAGAAGGTGTCCAGGCGGATCTCGTTGCTGATGAAAGTGGTGTGCACGTACAGGCGGGAGTCCATCTTCTGCAGCAGGTACTTCAGCTCCAGGTCCTGGAAGTCCAGGTCTGTCTCGAAGCTGATGAACTGCTCGCTGCGCTCCGAGTCCACGTTCTGAGGCTCGCAGCGACCCCGGTAAAGCTTATAGCCCTTGTTGCACGAGCCACAGAGGGAGATGTTGGCCAGGCTGCACATGGCACAGCTGTTGTTGCCCCCGATGATGCAGGGGATGGGGCGCTGGCACAGGCTGGTGCCGCCGTGGCAAACGCAGCTCCGCTGGCTTTCCAGGAAGGTTCCCCAGAACCCGTTCTCGTTGCAGTAGAGCAGGGACTGGACCCGGGTGAGCCACTCCTGTATCGTCCTGCAGGTGGGGAGAAGAAACCATTAGCACTGGAGGGCTTCAGGGAGTCCTGGGTGTTGGCATCTCACCAGAGCTACAGCGTTTTCTGGGATATATCTGAGGCAGAGCTCTCAGAACATCGATGCCCTGCCGTGGCATCTGGGAGCTATTCCAGTCTATTTCTAGACTGAATCTTTCATCTGCTGTTTACTCCTTTGGTGAAGAGCAAAAGCCTTCTAAGAAATATCTGAGCAGTTAGGACTGATCATCTGATTTCTCTCTCCTCACACTGTTCCAGGAGCTGAGACTGGCACAGTCTCCTGCCAAGGATCCCATCAGCACCACAGTGACAAAGTTCAGCCGTGGGAATGGAGCTGATAAAGCCATGCCAGAGGCTGAGGTGCTATCAGATATCACAGGGCAGCAGAACTCCCAGGCTAGCAGGAGAAAGCTCCTCTCCATGTCGTTGGCAAATAGCCCCACTCTCCAAAACCAGACCCGTAATGGGATAAGGGAAAGCCAGTAGTAACCTGTGCTTGTGGTGCAGAGCTCATAACAGCAGAAAGCAGGGTGGAAGTCAGGATTCATTGAGACAAAGCTGCTAAAATAGTTTCTCCTTAAAAAAAACCCCAAACTCTACTGCTAATAAACACCTCTTGCAGCCTCTCCCCTTAAAAGCAGCCCCGCTTGCCCACCCCTGAGCCCCACCACTCTCACACTTGCTGTATCAGCACTGTCACCTCCACACCCTGCAGCCCTGGAATGACTCCTAATGAGTGACACTGCAACCCGTGTTCACTTTTTGTGTAACCCACTTGCCACGTTGCTGTTTTTGCCCCCTCTCCCCCCTCCCCAGCGCCCCAGGAGAGCTCAGCACAGCGACTCCTTTCTCAGCAGCCTCAGCAGATCGGTCTGTGCAGCCGCTGCTCCCTCCCTCCGCCTTCCCCCCCTGGCTAATGAATACTTCATTGTCTCCCGTGGGCAGAAAGTTCCTGGGAGTGCTGCAGTGAGAGGACTGGCTAATGACAAATTAGGATTCAGCCCCTGAAGAACGGGAGGAGTGATTATGGACAGAGGCTCTCAGAGCTGGATTAGTGAAATTCGTGGCACCTGCATCGCCTGACCTCCGAATAATCATTAAGCTGTGGGCTGTATCAAAGAAGGCATTAAATGATACAGCAGCAAAGAACAGCAAGATGATTAGGGAGAGGGAGAGAGGGGAGGGATGAGAGTGTAAAACAGAGGAAAGCACTGGAAGGAAAGAAATAGCCAAGGAGCAGAAACGGAAAGAGTAGGAGAAGAAAGATGGGAAAATGTGCAGGTAAAAGGAAAAATGAGAGAAATGCAGGGGCAATAGGGATGGAGAAGGAAAAACTGAAACAGCTGAAAGAGAACAGGAAGAAAAGGAGTGAAATGGGGAAAAAAAAGATACAGAGTGAGGAAAAAGGACAGGCTTTAGCAGAAAAATTCTGAAGCTCAGATGTGGAAACACAATTTTCACATTCCTCCTGAGGCACAGGGCTGCCAGAGTCTCCTTCCCCTGTTCACAGTCAACAGAGCTCTCCTGCTACTGGAAAAGACAAGGTTGGCTGGGAAGCTTGGGAACAAGGCAGTGCCCTCCATAAATATCTGCCCTAGAGGGAGACACTCACAGCCCTGGTCCATAGGAAAAAATCCTCCTGATTCCTGGGACAGCTCTGCCTCGGAGGGGAGGGGACAGCACAGCACAGTGGGGCTGCAAAACACGCTGCTGGCATCAAGCAGCCCTTTCAAAACCATCCCTGAGGGCTGGGGCTCTTTCCTGCTCATGGGTGAATTTTTGCTCACTTTTTCAGCAATACAAATGTTTTACCCCATCTGAAGCCTCGTGGGCTCCTGTTTGGAAAGCCAGTCAAGTGCACCTGGATTTGTGCAGTGGTACTTTTACACAGGTTTTAGGTGTTGATAATGCCATTGAGTTCATGGGACAAGGACTGCCAGGCTATACAGCAGGGGACATGATATGAGTTAGAGTCAGGTGACCACATTTTGTCCATCTCAGGTGTGTTCTGTCCTTCTTTTATACTAAAAGTCAGCAGAGCAGAATGGGAAAGAAGCCTCAGCTGATATCTGGCAATTGAAACCAGTAAAATTCCTGTTTCCCAGATGAACTTTGTGGAGGAAGGATGAGAAATTGGGTGTTTTGTTACGTATGGGTATGTCTTAGCTTTCAGCAAAGACATAAGCAGGACAAAAAACTCCCCCAAAAATAAAAACAAGAAGAAAAAGAAAAAGGTGAGTACCCACCATCTGCTGATGGCAGCGATAAAGGACATAATTAAATGAAAATGCAGAATCCAGGGCAGAGCTGGGCATGGGCTGCAAACACGACAATGGGAAGTGTGATGGAGTGAGAGGGAGGAAAAGTGGTATAAATTACCCCATTTTGTCTTGCATCTGGGACAGGTTAAGAATATGCACAGGGGCAGCCAGAGCCCTCCAGCTGACAGGAGGTAACTTTAAAACACACACCTCTGATGGCTCAGGCTCCTGGGAATGTCCCCAGGAGGTGCTGGGGCAGAAGGAAGCTGAAATAAGCCACTGCTTAAAATGAAAGCCAGTAGCAGAGTAGGCATTGATTTTCATTTCAATTATTTTCCCTTTCATTAAGGAGCTGTCAGTTTATCTTTCTCCAACTTTGATGTCATTGCAGAACTTATTTTACCTAATGTTTGCTACCTCTGGAGTTCAAAGTATAAAGTGCTACAGCGTGTGATATTAAAAGAAGGAAAACTACGTCTTCAAAGGTCATTGTCAAGCAATTTTGCATTTAAGATCTTTGTCTTGCTTTATATCTTTATATATCTTACATTAGAAAACTGGAGAAAAGGAGGCTCAGGGGAGACCTCATCTCTCTCTACAGCTACTGGAAAGGAGGGTGGGAGTCAGGCTCTGCTTCCAGGGAACAAGGGACAGGACAAGAGGAAACAACCTCAAGCTGTGCCAGGGGAGGTTCAGGTTGGATATCAGGAAGAATTTCCTCACTGAGAGGGTGTTCAGGCATTGAGAGGGGCTGCCCAGGGAGGTGGGGGAGTCCCCAGCCCTGGAGATGTCCAGGGAAGGACTGGACGTGGCACTCAGTGCTCTGGGCTGGGGGACAAGGTAGGGCTCAGGCACAGGTTGGACTTGATGATCTTGGAGGGCTTTTCCAGCCTAAACGATTCTCTGATTCTACACTGAAAATAAATACTAAATGCAGACAAAGCTGGAAGTGAGAGTTACTTTGCAGTGTTTTCTGGCTGTTCCTCGCTGGTCCCTGGCACTGCTGGAACAGGAACCAGGTTCAGAGCTGTTTCACCGTTAAAAACCAATCTGTTCTGACCAAAAAAAAGCGTTTTGCAGGACAGTGTTGGGCTTTCAGACCAGAAGCAGAGGTCAGATTACACAGAGAGGTGATGAATAATTTTTTTTCCTCATGATTTGTCATTCTTTGGGATTAATCAGGTCTGGGGAAGGGAGGAGGCTGATGGGTGTTTCATGAGACAAAGAGGTAACTGTTGTAGATGTGTCTGAGTCGATTAGAAAAACAAACCATGCCAAAATAAACAAACAACCCCCCATCAACAAAACAAAACACAAAACAAACAAAGAAAAACCCACAAACCAAAACAAAACCCCAGAACAAACAAAGAAAAACCCACAAACCAAAACAAACAAAAAAACTCAAAGAAAAAGAAAATAAACCAACCAAAAATCCCATCCAGCAGGAGAGATCCTTTCTTTTTTTTTTTTAAATTTATTTATTTACAAGAATAAAAGGTAAGGATTAAACAAGTTTTCCTTTACAAACTCACCTTTCACTTTCCAACCAGCATGAGCTGCTCTGGGGGTACTTTTGGGTTTTCTGTACAGAACGGTGAAGTAAAAAGTGCTATTTTTGTTCTCAGCATCTGCAAGATGTATTCTTAACTAATGACAATTTGGCTGGAGCCCAGAACATGTATAAGCCCTGCTCTTTTTTGGATGTTATTTCTATTTTACATCCAGTGTTTTAAAAAGCAACTACAGGTACTCATTACGCATGGAAGCTTTAACAACTGGGGAGTGGTTTCTTTTTTAAACCAACAAACTTGTCCCTTTTTTAAATCTGTAAACTTGTCTGTTTTTTTACAAAAGCAGTGCAGACCAAATATATCTGTGTCTATATATCTATACTATGCCTCTATCTATATAACTGTATCTATCTCTCCTTCTTAGCTATTGCAAAAGGTCATGGAGAATCAGCCTAATTGCCAAAATTCCTACTCTTCCTTTCTTATCTTTCTTTTGGAATCACCACCTCTCCCTTTCCCTCAGGACAATCAACAGCAATGCCATTTCTTTTTTTTACATTGCCTCGAATGCATATTTTAGGCTCTCTCTTTAATGTGTATTGAAGAGAGAGAGGCTTGCTTTTAACAGAACCTTTCCATCCTTTCAAAGCCACTCACGTGTCTGATAAGCATCTGTTGCCCTGTGCAGCAACAATTAGAAAATTAGAGTATTTCCCAGCTCTGTGAGCAGAAAGGTGGGATGCAAACCTCCTCCAAGACAGAGCTGTCTCTGGAGCTGCTCCCCTGCCTAGCTACAGATGCACAATGACAAATAAGAAAAGAAATGATAATATGCCTGCTGATGTTGACTTAAACAAATCAAGCACATCAGTCAGTTAAAAACCCAGCTGCCATCATCCATTTCATCCTCCTTCCCCCAGATTTCATTGTAGTAGTTGGAGGCTCCCCTTCTGCTTGGCTGATTTTTTAAAATAGATGAGAAATGCTCAAGACATATTTATCTGAGTGTTTTGAAGCAACGTGGTTGGCTGGATATTTGCTCACTGCTGCTTCTCTTTGTTGTTGTTGTGGCACAACTAAAAATACCTCCTGGACATGGCTGAGCCTCCTCCAGCTCTTTTCCTGGTCAGAGCAGCTCAGCCACTTGGCAGGAATGGGCCAGGTTTAGGAAGCTCTCCAAAGACTTTTTTTTTATAATCTCTTACACTTAATAGATATTTCTCCTCATCCCTAGTAAGTCCATCAAATCTTTGTCCAGAAACATGAGATTTCTTGGTAATTAAAGAGATGTTAAGCCCTGGAAGAGTTTTCTGAGCTGCACAGTGATGAAATGAAAAGTCAGCATGTTTAGCAGCCCGGGAGCTGGATGAGAACAGGTGACAACAGTCAGTCAGTCAATTTTCTCTTCAAACTAAATATTTAAGTAATGAAGGAAGTGAAAAAATATCCAGTTTCTACTAATACTAACTTCTGCTGACCCTTCCAAGAGAAGCATGGAAGAAAAAGCACTTGGACTAATTTCCCCCCCCCCCGGATTTTCAGTATTATTTCACTCCAGACAGTACAGAAAGACACAGTAAGAGATGTTTATTAAAATCCACAGATGCAAGTCCCCAAAATTACTTGAAGCAAACAAACTCAGCTATAGGTGAGGGCTGGAAGGAGCCAGCAGGAGGGGACTATTCAGTATCAATAGTTGCTGTAGCTCTAATGGAAAATTTGCTCTCTCCATCTGGGAGAACCCTGCAAGGCCTCTGGTCAGTGTGGGTTTGCAGGTTCACTCTGCATTTCATAGGAGAAATGTGATGTATTCCAAGTGAAACTAAAGCTTCTCTTTCACTCTGGCTCTGCTCATTGAAGAGTACAACTCAAAACTGGGCTGAAGCATCTTGTGCTCCATATGTTCACTTGAACAGCAAGTGAAGCCTTAAAGCTTGGCTGGGGTTTATGAGGTAAAACCATTAAAAAGCAGCTTAGTCTGCTTAATGTCAGCCCTGGAACAGTCACAGAATCACAGAATATGCTGAGTTGGAAGGGACCCACAAGGATCATTGAGTCCAGCTCCTGGCCCTGCACAGGACCATCCCCAAGAGTCACACCATGAGCCTGAGAGCATCGTCCAAACCCTCCTGGAGCTCTGGAAGCCTTGGGGCTGTGCCCACTGCCCTGGGGAGCCTGTTCAGTGCCCAACCACCCTCTGGGGGAAGCACCTTTTTCTAATATCCACCCAAAACCTGTCCTGACACGACTCCAAGCCATTCCCTGAGGTCCTGTCCCCGGTACCCAGAGAGCAGAGCTCAGTGCCTGCCCCTTCTCTGCCCCTCCTGAGGAAGCTGGAACTGCAAGGAGCTCTCCCCTCAGTATTCCTGCAGACCACTACAGAACAAGGGGCAGGTCACACAGAAGGGAGGTGATTGTGCTCAGCTCTGTGACAAAGGTTACCTACACCTCCAGAAACTCCAACCCACTCCCAGATTTCACCGTTTCCCCCCAAACCTGCGTGTCTGCACACCCCGTATCCAACCACAGGCTGTCAGGATCACACCCAAGCACAAGCTGAGCTCCAGCAGCCCCCCTCCCCAGCCCCCCTGTCCCCAGTGAGGGATGGAGGTACCTTTCCCTAGGCAGCTGGTGGTTTGGGTTGTGCCGACAGCGGACACTGAGGCCAAAGAGTTTGCGGGCAGTGCGCTGGATCTTCTGGCGCTGGGCTTCCAGGGAGCTCTGCAGCAGCTTGTAGCGGTTCTGCAGGTCCCAGTCGTTCCCCCAGTGCTGGTGGATGCTCCCAATGGTCAGGAAGTGGTTGCTAGGTAGCCTTTTCATGAAGGATTTAAACTCATCTGGAAGAAGGCACAGAAACGGGGAGAAATGCAGAGGTTTCTGAGCTGTAAGGAGGTTACAAAGCTTTTCATTAGCAGGGTGTGAGGCCATCGGTGAAAGTGATATCCAGTAATTCCCTGCTCTGTCAGCCTGCCCCAGGAACCCCCTAATTCCATGGCTGTTGCTGTTCCCATATAAGAAAAAACCCCCATACTGAATATCAAGGTGAAAAAACACAGTTAAAGTGCACAGGGTGGAGAAAAAAAGAGAGCAACTCCCTGGAGCATGAGATTATAGTGTAGGGCTTATAAACAAAAAGTTGGGAGTTGTAATCATTGTCAGTTAAAGAGTTCTCATTTACATTGTTTTTCAGCTGTTTGTTGTTGAAGGTAAAGCACTTTGGCTGTGTCCTTAAAAAAAAAAGGAAAAAAACCCCAAGCTTTCAAAATTCCCCAGAGGAAAGGTTTGGATTGTGTTAAAATGTCCTGCTTTCTCGTTTTTTAAAAAGGGCATTCCGATTCTTTTTACTTATTTAACTCCATTTGAAGTTAAATGAGTTGCATTATGTAACAATGGCAATAAAATAAAGTAGTTTGCAGGGCTCAGGTGAGAACAAAATGCATCAATTTTAGCCAAAGGGAAAAAACCTGATTGATTGAAAAATATATTGTTCAATGTTGGGGTTTGTTGCTCGTTTTTTTTAATTCCTTCATCCCATTTTCAGAAAGAAAAGAGGGCGATAGAAAAAAAAAAAAAAGGCAAAAAAGGAGAGTTTGTAAAGGCTGATACCTTTGCAATGAAAAGAAACAATCCATAGAATTACTGGAGAAAATCAGACCAGATAATTTACACCCTATAGCACAAAGTTAAAGATATTGGCATAAGAGATTTCCTGTTATTCATCAACTTGCAGTTCATGCTTAACTGCCTAACAAGGAGTATCAGGGCATTAGTCAGTACCAGCATCACATAGATGGGAAATGGATGTTCCCATCCTACTCATCACATGGTGGAACTGAGCACCTCATAAAAATAATCATCATCATTGCACCGCCGACATCCGTGGGACATCTGCTTGTCTCCTCCGAAGATAACTTAGAGGTTTGGTTTTTTTTTAATCATCCCTCAGGTTTTTTTTCACTCTATTTTTAATGTTGCTTTCAGTGCCCTTCTCCTCCCCAGAATCGCTCCTCTCCTGCTCAGTGCTCCTCTGGAACCATCACCACGTCTAATTGCTCCTGTTGACCACGCTGATTACTCCGGGTACCTTTCAGCAGTAAAAGCCTTGCATTTGCTTCCCACCCCTTATAAATCAATTCCCTCAAAAGCCTGTTTGTGCAGGAGCCCGAGCTCTTTTCCCCCTGATGATGAATGTGCTACATTTTTCATCGAGACGGGCGAGGCAGGAATTTCGGTGCAGTGTGCACATTTCGCTACCGCAGTGCAACGTCGGGGGGAAAACAAATGAGCAGCAAATCTGGCCAAATAAAAGCTGGATGGGGTTGTTTAAAATAAAAGAGGATGAGAGAAAAAAAATAAATTAAAAAAAAAAAAACAGAACTGCTTTCAAAGCAGGATAGTTTCTTTATTATTTATGTATAAACTTTATAAATGTGCCTGGAAACCAAGAGTATGGATGGGGATATTCCCTATTTCTGAGAATAGTTAATTCTTAACCCTGAGAATTTCCAGTTAACTAATAGATCTGTTTGCATTTGTTGTTGTTTTAGTTCTCTGCACAGAAAATGTTGGTGATGGCTGGGACTACACCTCCCATGATGCTGCTTGGCCCCTCTTTTTTGCTGAGTCAGTCCCTGCAGGGAATCCCATGGCAATGACTCAGCATCACGTGTGGAACGGGACAGTGTCCAGCCTCTGCAGCAGAGTGGTGGCACCACAGTGAATTTATATGTCAGACATCTCTTTCAAAAATGAAACTTTCATTTTTCCAGTGTTAAAAAAAAAAATAAATCCCATTTTCATCAGAAAGCAATATTCTTGGGGGAAAAAAACACACACACACACACAAAAAAGAAACAAACAAATAAAACCCCACCTCATGACTTGATCAAAAGGGGTTTGTTTTTTTTAGGTTCAGAATCACAGAATTGTTTTGGCCAGCCACACTACAATGCCAAGAATAAGGCAGTGTTATTGTTCTCAGTTTGCACAGGAGCAATGAAGCACAGGGCTAAAAACCTCTGAGCTGATTCAAAGCAGCATCAGTTCACTGCAGCCTCCTTGACTTTGAAGACGCTTTCCCAAATCACACCAACTCTTGATTTGCCCTGCACGAATTTTTTTTTTCAGATTAACAGAGGATCCAACACAGCCCAGAAGCAGAATACAAATGTTTTAGGCTATCACCAGCTTCCTGTGCAAACGGTGTTTGCTTTCAGAGCACTCGTGTGCCTTTCAGTCCACTTTATTGGAAAAGCCTTCAGATGTCATCAGAGATTTCTCCTCTGCTGTTCATAATGAAGAAAATCCTCTAGTTATTGGGAATATTTATTAAAAGAAAGAAGCAAAACACTAATACTACAGTCTTTTGTGATAGCAACTTTCATCTCAGAGGATAAGTTCACGCATGATGCAACAAAGTGATGAATGAGATGCAGCAGCTTTAGACATAAAGATAATCACTCCATCTAACCCTGCAAAGCCTCCAGCCCTGGGTGGAATATGGCTAGAGCAGAAATTGCACTGCAGGGTGTCGCTTTAACCTGGCAAATGAAAAATACCTTCCCCCCCCTTTGTAATCTCAAGAGGAGGGAGACTGAATATAATGATCTACCCCAGTCTTTGCTTTGGATCGAGTGCAACAAGGACAGAATGTCACAGTGAAGGAGGCACAGTGGGGCTGTAACTCCTCCCTCCATAGGGCTCTCACCTTCTCAGTGCCTGGGTTACACCTGGAAGGTGAAGGGGTTGATGGGTGGTAGCCCACTTTTGGCTCTTGAGCATCTTGTGGGAAGATCCTGTGCCAGAACTAACAACTGGTAACCACGTAACCAGTGGCAGAGCTGTGCTGGCAGCTCCTGCCAGTAAGTCTGACTTGTGTAGGATTGAGCTAGCAGAAGGTTCTGAAATCCACATTTCTAGTTTGCCACCCCATCCATGAACCCATAGAAACCCGCAGAAAATATCTGACTTTTTCAGCTCATGACCTGCTCCTGGGACTGCCCAGGGTACATGGGGGGACCATGTCAAGATGGTCATCACCCTGGGGCCATGAGCTATGATTGACTCTGACCAGCTGGGCACCAAGTTGACAACATGAGGGGGACACAGGAATCTGTGCAGCAGCAGAGACACCAGCAGGGTCCATCATAGCCTGCTCCATTCCACCCATTAAAGGGATTAAAGTGACCTTCAAGGTGAAGAAAGAAATTGCTGCTATGAGAACTTGTGAAGAAGAATTCTTCAGTGCCTTGAGTTGAGCTAGATGGTCCTTTCCTCACAGTTTTCTTTCCTGACATGGAGACCTGGACAGTTTTGACAATAATTATTGAAGAAAATGTGTTGGAAAGAACTGGTTAGCACTAAGGGATGAGAGTCAGCACAGGGACAAGTTCTTGATGAAGTTCTGTTTAGTCCTGTGTGGCTTCAGGGTAGGCAGATCACTTGCTAAAGGAAAGGATACAATTCACTGATAATGTTGCTCTTTCCTATCTCAAGCCCTTGAGGGTGAGCATCCCACGATTACCACAGCATTACTATGGGTCAATACTACTACCAGCAGCATCAACGTGGAACAAACTCTGCTGACACCCCCAGCCTCACCCTGGGAGAAAGTGGAGGAAGAAGAGAAATGTCCCTCCCAGCAGATATCAGCCCTGTAGGAGAGAGAAATCATTTTTCCTTCTCCTGTCTGTCTCAAATGCGGTGTCATCTGGCCGGTACCTTCCCCCTCTGAATTGCCTTTCACCAAAGCAGAATAAATCATTCATGCAAATCTGAAAAGCAATTTCTGCATCATTTATACTGTGGAAGTTTCTCTGTAGAACTACTAAAAGAGAGATTCAGAGCTGGTTTGGTATGAAAACAAAAATCAGATTTTTAATCGAATAGTTCCGTGGAAAATATCCCTGTACATACGTGTGGTGTGTGTGTTCTTGTCTGTGCGTGTGTTTAATAGGGGGAAAAAAGGTACTCCCTTAAGACTAAGAGCATGGCTGCAGAATTTTCCATTTTTTTATGCAAACTGGAGCATTATATTGAGAGAATATAAGAGAGAGAGGGAGGGAGAGGGAGATTCTTACCTGGTATAATCTGACACATTTTGTTTTGCGGTAAATTAACCGGAAAATGAACTTTGCTCGGTTACCTGAATTCTCCAGATCTTTATAGGCTTCTGTCCAGGTCTTGGCCATGTTTGCCAGGGTGTACTCCATGATCTGGATGTCGGTGATGGGGCAGTTGCACTGGGGGAACTCCTCGGAGCACTGGCAGCCGCACTGGCTGTCCCGGCAGATGTACTCGCCCTCCCCGTTGCACATGATGTAACTCAAGGCAGACTGGACAAACTTCTCTTGTAAATACTGAGGGAAGATGATCTGGAGACCTGGCAGGGAAACAAGAGGGATGTGGGGGTGAAAAAAAAGCAAATTAAGAAGTCAGTTCAGGTATTTGTTCTTCGTTTCAAAACCTGTTTCGTTGACAGCTTGGGAAAGTGCTGCTGAGGAATTAAAAGCTGCTGGGGTATTTATCTTGGATAAATTGCATGTTTCCAGTGCAACTTGTGAGTTAGCTGAGAGCAGTGAGACAAGTAACTTCCCCCTCCCCAACACCCAGTCTACTCCCTTCATCCCATTCCCAGGTCCCAGTACAGTACAAAGCCCCTGAATGCAAAGGTGTTTTATCCCCTGAAACCAAGTGCTAGTTCAGAAGTGATGAGCATTGTGCAGTTCTGACCTGTTTTGAGAGAGACTAAATGGGTTTGGTACCACAGAAACAAGGAAACTACACATTGAAAAAGAAAATAAGAAAGAATGGAAAACAGAAGAAAGGCAAATAACCCAGGGAGGGATTTATAAAAGACCCTTGCAGAGTTAAGTGCCCAGCTCCCACAGCATAAATACAGGAGCTGGCTACCTGAGCCTTTGCAGCTCGCTCCCTGCTAGGAAGGCTACTTGCCAAATCCTATAAAAGTGCAAATGGATTTAGTGCCAGTGATTTCAGTGGTGCTCTGAAGATTTACATTAGCAGGGAGATTTATCCCCACGTCCCTTTCTCCACTGCCAGTGTTTGTGTACCCACCCATCTGTGCAGGCATTAGTGTAAATGTACCCTTGCTCAGGTATCAGAGGACATACTAACAGTTTAAGTGTTTGCCCTGTGTACAGTGTACATGTTTTTCCACCCTGTCCTCCTCCTCCAGGCTCCCTATGGATCTCCCTGAGGATTCACAGCTGTTTCCTTCTACCTGGCAAGTCCTGCTTGTCAGACTCTGTCAGCGTCTGTGGTGCACGAGGCAGATGACAAGAACTCCGAGCCTGGCCTGCTTGCTTCCTTGTGAAGGCCCAGGGATTTTGGAGTGGCAGCTAAAGGAGTTTATGGCCTGACCAGCAGCACTGAACTCGGCAGTGATGGAGGTCAATTATCCATCTGTTTGTGGTTCTGCTGAGTTCCCGTGGCCGTGGTTGACAGCTCAGCCGAGTGGAAGGGAAATCACACAATAATTCAGGGGATGAGAGCGTGCAGGAATGGCAAAAAGGGTCGTGACCCCTTTCAGGAGCTCAAGCCTGTCTCTGATGGGCCATGTTCACCTCAGACAAGAGGAAAGCAGCGGGCAGTGACCCCGGGACCCCCATTACCCTTTTGCTTTTGGATCCAGAGAGACACATCAGCCTTGATGAGGTCCCTGTGGAAGAGCAGATTTTGGGAGGATCAGGAGGCTGTGGAAGGCACACAGGGACCTGTGTTTCCTCTCCCCCTGGGCTCTGGGAGCACCATGCCTGGTGGCACCGAGCTGCCCCTCTGTCTGACCCCACTGGCAGCCGAGCGCGGAGCAGTGGCAGCTGCTGGGCAGGATGAGCACGGAGCTCCCTCCAGCTGGGGAAGATGTTTGTGACCCTGGCACAGGAAGGATTTCAAGCCTGGCCTTTGGAGGCACTGAGTCTGCACAGATCCTGCTGCCTTTCCTATGGTGGTATTTGGGACAGGAGGGAACAAAGAGCTGACCTGTCTACAGCATCCCTGCAAACACCTCAAAACTGGCTGAAGGAAGATCAGCATTTTGAGGTCCCCTTGGTCTTTTCTGAGATGTTTCTCAGCAAGAAGCTCATCTTTCTTCCTGCTGCCTTCAGGAAGTCCTGAAGATCAGCCTCTTTTTGGGATTTTAGTGATAGGACACGGTGGAGTGGCTTTAAACCAAAAGAGAATAGGTTTAGATTGGATATTAGGAAGAAATTCTTCCCTGTGAGGGTGGGGAGGCCCTGGCACAGGTTGCCCAGGGAAGCTGTGGCTGCCCCATCCCTGGAAGTGTTCAAAGCCAGGCTGGACAGAGCTTGGAGTAACCTGGGCTAGTGGAAGGTGTCCCTGCCCACGGCAGGGGGAGTTGGAATGAGAAGATCTTTAAGGTCCCTTCCAACCCAGGCCATTCTATGATTCTATGAATTATCTGAAGCAAACACCACAGAGGGATGGTCCCTTGTCAAACCTTCATACTGACATTAGAGATGGTCCCACCTGCCAGGATCCAAAACTTTCCTTCAGGATGGAAGGAATGTGCAGTGCTGTTGGAGAACTGATCCACACAAGGGGCTTGGAGAGCCTGAAGGCTGCTGCACTCACTGAGCTTTCAATCTCACAGGAGAGTGGGGCTGGACTTCTTGATGTGCACTGACTCTTTACTCATGGTTCAAGTCCCATGAATACATTTTTCCACTCTGCTTCCCAGAGGAGCAACCTGCTCTGGCCTCACCATTTGAATATGACCAAATGACCTCAGGCTCTTCACTTCACATATTTTCTCTTTGAATTTTAACTTGGATAACATCATGACAAGCTGTTTGGTCCCAGCTAGAAATGATCCTGGTTTTGGAGATTTTTTCTTTCTTTTTTTTTTTTTTTTTTTTTTTTTTTTTTTTTTTTTTTTTTTGGAGGGAATAAGGTTGGAAAAAGCAACTAAAATTTCAGGGAAAGCATTTCCCATTGCAAGGAACATCCACTGTACATCTCAGCACATGCAGAAACATGAATACCCTGTAATCTCCAAAACACAACGTGGTCCCATCCTACACTGCAGTGCCTCATGTGGATGCTTGCTTTTTGCCTATAAAACTTGTGGCTTCTAAAAAAAAATAACATTTCCAGAATAACCTCCTCTTGTAAGAAATAATCTCGTGTTTAAGAGGTAATCAGAGCCCTGTACACTTAGCACTGGTTCAACAAAGCACTTATATAAATGCTTAACTTAATCAGGGAAGCAGTTTTGCTGGAATCCACCATTACCTGGAGCTTTAACACACAGCACATACTCAGATATGTTCTTACAAAAGTGACACACAAATCCAGCTACTCATTGGAACATGAGTGTGCATAGTCCAAACACAAAACCCTGACTTTAAAACTGCAAACATGCAGTAAGGATTCCATGTGACTCAGATCTTCCAGGCCAGGAATTTCCTTGTGGAAGAAATCAGTGTCAGGAAATACAGCTGTGCTTGCTTTTCCATGTATATTTTTATATATATACACATAAATATTCACACATTTCTCATCATATCCAGACAAGGGCAGATTCATATCAATATTTTTGGTTTAGTGTGGAGCATCCTAGTGACTAGATCTTAGCAAGATATTTTACAAGCACTGTGCCAGCAGCATCTCCCTCAGTCCTGGCACCCTCATAGTTTGTATATATTTCCCTACCGTGCCCAGTGACTAAATATTGCTGAAATTTAGTGGATTTGGTTGTCAGTAAAACACAGGCAGGATTAATCTTTTCAGATCACTGCTGTGGATGTTTCAGTTGCCACCTGTGAAGCAGGAAAGCTGCAGTCCCAAGGACTACGACAGCACACCAGCCCCACAGAGCAGCTTGCAGCTGGCCATGGTAGCTGGGAAAGCCCTCTGACAGCCATGACCTTAATAAACCACCCCAGAAATGCTGTTTTGTTCTCCAAGAAATGTCTTTGAATGTTGCAAACGTTAAAAAAAACCAAATTACATTCAGTCATAGAATCATAGAATCAGCCGGGTTGGAAAAGACCTCCGAGATCATCAAGTCCAAAATTAATCTTTCAGCTTTGCCTGCTCTTAAAGCAACCTCATATCAGCAGCCAAACAGGGGGTCAACCTGGCCTCAAAGACTGAGATACTGGACCATTTCCATGGGGAGAATCCCTCAATCCAAGCCAGGGGACACAAGGAATGGGCTCATCCCCAGCAGAGGCTCTGGAGCTGAAAACAGATGCAAAGGGAGGTTTGCTGGTGGTCAGTGTTAGGCAGAATATCTTAGTTTTGAAGATATTGTTCAGGAGGAATTCTGCAACTCTATAATGCAAAAAGTTCCTCCTTTAAAATTAAGAGCAGCACAGATTTGGTATAGGTTTGTCTTGGATAACTACAGGCAGAATATGAAGTGTCTGACAAGGGAACATGTCCTTAATTCACCTAGAAAAACTATTAAAGAGAGATGTTTGCCTTTAGACTGTATATAAAAGGCTTCCTGCATTAAAAGAGGTAAATTTCCCCAGCTCTAAATTAGAGCTATTTGAAACATTTTCCACAGAAGAGTTCTCTGTTGAAAATGCAGTTTCATTGAAGCATTTTGTGAGAGCATGTTGACTCCAAAAGCACTTTTGACTTTCTAAATGTATTTTTTTCATACTTCCTCATCTTGCTTCACTGCAAAGCTGAAATGTTTGTCATTACTGCTCTGCCCATCTTGGCAAAAGCTCTAATAGTAACTGTAATGTAAATACTAATATTATATTACCATATATATTATAAATATATATAATATATCTCTATGTATATTTTTATATATGTATAATATATATGGTATTTATACATATATTGTAATATAATATTAAATATGGTAATATGTTTAATATTGTATAGTTATTGTACATAACATTATATATTATGCGTGGTATTATATTACCATATTTGATGTAAGAAACTACCTAATATGCAATATTTCCTGCTTAATGTTGCAAAGTTTAGAATAGCACAGAAGGATTTTTACCTCATTGAAACAGTGCTATGCTCCAATATTAACATAGACTGTCAGTAACAGTATTGATATAACAGGGGATGTCTCTGGAATTTTAGTTTCCTCAGACTTTTGAAAATATTCCTTTTTCCCCCTCAAATTTTCTAATTTCAGCCTTGGACACTTGTCCTGGGATCACAAATTCCCATTTCCCACCAGCCTGCTGTAGAGCTGCTGGAATCCTCCCCTCCCATGCTCTGGTGGTCTCCTTTTCCAGGCAGCTTGTGGATCATCCATACTGGAGGTGGAGGCAGCTGAAGGGATGGTTTCCTGCTGGTGGCAGGGAGAGGAGGATACAAAGTGTGAACAACTGGAGTCCCCTGTGAGATCCTGGCCCAAAACAGGATTCCCCAGTGCTTTGTTGGGAGGCTGCATCACCACACAGCCCTCCTCACACACAGGACAGGGATCCTGCTCCAGGGAGGGATAGGAAAAAGTGAAACCTTGTGTGATCTGTGATCAATATCGTATATATACACCCCAGTGCATGTACAAACACTCTGGGTTCACATGGATACTGGTTTACAAATTAGGGATTATTTCTGTCCCAGTAACCACAGGTGCAGAACCAAACACCCTGCACTCTCCTCCCCTGGAAACTCCAGGCTGGCTCACCCTCCCAAACCCTTTGTGCAGGCATGAAGGTAACTGAGCTTTGGTTCATAAAATTGTGGAATCATTTGGGTTGGAAAAGACCTCCAAGCTCATCAAGTCCAACCTTTGACCCATCACCACCTTGTCACCCAGAGCAGAGCTCTGAGTGCCACGTCCCGGCCGTTGCATCCCCTGAAGGGCAGGGCTTTGACACCACGACTCTCAGGGCTGGGCGGCAGCAAGTTCAGGAGCAGAAACTCTCCCTGTCATGGAGAAGCTGCTCTTTTATTGAGCCAGGCTCAGAGCTGAGTGACAGCAAGGCAGGAACATGGATTTCTGTCAGCAGCTCATGCTCGGCTGCTAATCAGATCAGAGGGGACTCAGTCACGATCCATTACCTGCTGCAGCCCTGTGACTAATTCCTAATGAGCCTTCTCAGAGCAGAGGAAGGATCCTGGGTAATTATCCCAAGAACCACACTCCAGATCAGGTGGAAAGCTCAGGTGTAGCTTTAAAGGTCACTTTGTCCTATTAGGAAGAGCTCCTGCCTCCCTTCCCTCGCTCTGTCCCTTGGCTTGGCTCTGGGCTCTCTCTGCACTGGGTTATGCTGTGAAGCTCCAAAAAACCCACATCTGCTTGACCCCCCAATGTCCTCTGCCTGCTCCCATCAGAAATTACAGCCTCATCCACCTTACATCCTCTCTCTCTCCTAATTTTTCCCTCTTCCTCCACCTCCTTCCCCCTCCCTTGGTTTATGTCCTCTCCTGTAGGATCAGATAGCCAATAGAGGTCTATTGATTTACCTGCTTCTCTGCCTATAACCCGAGCTGCCTGCTGATTTAGCTGTTTACCCAGTTATCTGATGTGTCATCCTTGGGTTTTCATTACCAGCAGCCACCATCAGAGTACACAAACCCTCTCAAATTGCTTATTGTTAATTAGGTAAGAACCAGAACTCAGTGGTTTGGATAATCACTGGAAGAGAGAAAACAACCTGCCTATTATTTTTAAAGGCAAATAATAACAACAATAATAATATATCCACAACATTACTTTGTAAATGAAACCCAGTTTCTGTGAAACCAAAGATTAAAACAGCACTTGCCAAATTATACTCAAAGCGGAAGATGTAATGTAGCCCATTCATCTGAAAAATTAAAATTTGTGCAAGTACAAGGATTCCAGAAATAAAACCATCTGGGCAAGTGAGCAATTAAATCCAACATTTCCTTATTTTGTCAAAAATTTGGGAATAACCTTCATAAATTACACGCCCAGTGAATTTCCTCCTTCTACTGAAGTTGACTTCTTGCTAACCAGCATGTATTTATTTATTAATTCAGTCATGACCTCTATCTGTTGACTTTTGGACTAGCTCCCCAGCTGGGACTGAAGCCATGGCTTCTAGCATCCAAATAAAACCTCAGTGACTTTTCCCAAAGATTATAGTCATTAGAAAGTCCCAAAAGCTGATCTGCAAAGCTCTTACACAAATCAGCAATTTGGGAGGGACAAAGAGACACGATGCTCCTTCAATATTGATGGAAAAGGTCACTTTTTCTTTTTTATATTAGTGTATGTATAATACACAGAAGTTCATCAAAATTCAATGGCAGGGGCACCCGGATACTTCACTGGGGTCCCTTTAGCTCAGTTCTTGGCAAACTCTGGCTCTGCTCTGCTGAGCATCCTGTGAAGCCTCCAGAAGCCACTAATCCTGCTGCAGGGAACTTACAGCCAAGGCAGAATCACAGCAGAGAAGGGGAAAAGGCTGGGAAGAAGGGCACCCCTGCCTCATTTCAGCCCCCCACTCCATACCCCTTGTTGCCACATCCCTCATTCCTGAGCCCTACCTTGCAGGTGGAGTTTGCTCTCAGTGCTTTGCAGAAGGACAGAACTCACAGAGTCCAGATTGTCGTAGCTGTTACAGCCCAGGGGGCCGGTCCGAGTTTCTGTTACCTACGGAGGATGCAGAAAAGAGAGAGTGTTCCCTTTGACTGCAGCACCACACCTTCCCCAGGCTTCTTCAGACCTTGGAGTACAAAGGGTCCTTGTCACCAGCTGATATAACCCAAAACACATCTTTCCTAATTGGGGAAAAATGCCCCACCCTGGACAGACACAGCTGATGTTTGGTGCACTCCCAGGCTGGAGAAGCAGAATGAAATGTGCCTGCTCTCTTTATGGTGCTGCTCGTTACTCTGGGCTTGGCAAAGGGATCCTGCAGATTGATGCTTCTCATAGAGGATCTCCACTGGAGAACATCAGAAGCCAGTAGAGGAATTATTCCCTGGCTTCTCTTATTGGAAAGCAAGAAACAGAGATGGATTGCCAGCCCCCAGTGGCGCCTGGTGCTCCCATATGTGAGCACCATCCTTGTGCTCAGGAGAGATGGAGGCACAGATGACCTGCGGTGCTGTTGCTGTTGGTTTCCAGCCATGGAGGAGAGCTGCCCTTCCGGAATTCACCACGGGTGATTATCTGCTGTCACTGTTTCAATATCTCAATACAATTTCCCATCCAGAAGGGAACAGGCTCAGCCATGAGACACCACAGAACAATAACGAGAGCTGAAACCTTTCAGAAATGGCTAACAATGACGACTCCATCCACATCACCTTCCCTGGAGTGAACTCTGCAACAATAAAATCCCTGCCCAGTGTAGGATGATTGCTTTCAGAGAAGGCAGCCTTTGTCTGCAGAGCCATTTTCCCTATTTTGTATTCTCTGAGCAGCTTCCCTTCCTTCCTGCTGCAACCCCCAAGCTGTCTCAGTCCGCTTCATTCCAGATGCCTCAGTAATGCCACACAGAGTTTTTTGCCTTTCCTTGTAGTAAATTTGGCTGAGAGATGTTTAGCAGTCTTACACCCACAAGAGAAAAATACTTCTGGGTTGCACAGGGTTGTTCATTTCCCAGACCTGCCTTTCCCTTCCAACCTCCATCACTGATCTGGGTTCTCTGCTCCCTCTCTCCCTTCCAGAAGTCACTGTCACCTTTAGTGGAGTGATATATCCTACATACAGTGGAGTGGTTATATCCTACATAACCATCACACTGAGTGCCCACCTCTCTCTGGATGTTACTGGATATATTACTGGCCTTGGGGAAATCAAATCTTCAGTAAGGTCCATAAGAGAAAAATTTACCCTGGGAACAAAACAACTCATGATCAAAAAAGACATCGCATTGGGCTGGCAAATCCCTGCAGTGCCAGTGTGGGCACACAATATTTCTCTTCCTAAGGCAAGGCAGAGTACCTTGATTGCTCCGGTAGAGATCTGGATCTCATGGAGTCTCCTCATGGTGCCATCACGGTCCACAAAGTAGGAGGAGGCGAGCTGGTGCAAGGCTTCAACGCTCTGCGTGGCGTTCCCTGACTTCCTGTCGAGGCGGCTTTTGTCCATGTACATGGTCAAGGCCTCCTCTCCTGCAGCAGAAAGAAAAGCAGATTTCAGGCTGCCAGGCAGGGTCACTTCAACAGGAACAAAGGGTGTCATCTGTTGCACCTAAAGAAAGAAACGTCCGACACCAAAAACGCTCCTGAAGGAATCCGCCCTTCCTCACCAGCACCAGACCCCAGTGTGATATGTGTGAGCCTTCTCCATTCAGACAGAAAGCCCAGGTCCACCACACTGGCAGATCAGCTCCACTGAATTCAGTAGTCAACATTTTGGGCATTTATTAGCCAGCAGAGCATTACTGCAAGTGCTGGAGAGGTTTCAGACCATTTATCCCACTCGAGGAACATTTTCTCTGTGTGTGGTGCCTCTAGAACGATGCTCCTGACAGGGGAAGATGACACTTTTATACAAGTCTCTGTCTGAGCTGATTTTTAGAAGGAATAAATGATGATTGGAAATAAGAGGTAGTTGTGTAGGTGGGTACAGAGGACAAACAAATGCTAGTTGTGCCTCTTCAGCTTCCAGAGATGACGCAAAAAGGTAAAAGAAAGGGAATGAGTGAAGGGGAGCAATCAGAAGAAAGAGCAAACAAGAAACTTAATTTAAACTAACCACACTTCCTGCTTTCTTTCCCCGAGTCTCATTCAGGGAATTTAAGCAGAGAGTGAAAAATAGTGTACAAGGTGAGGGACAACAGATGATTTTGTGTCAGTAACCACAGGGAATCTGGGAGTGAAGCAGTTAAGAACTGATAAACATCAGCAGAAACCTGAATGTAACAAAATACATCTGGAAAGTATATAAAGCTGAGGAGTAATATTTACCCAAAAGTTCAATTTGTGCTGGATGAGCCAGATAAAAATCCAGTTCATTCTTAACATAAGGCTGGCACTAAAAGAGGACCAAAAAAGGTGAAATGCCATCATCCTGCACCCTTGACATGTGAAGCTCTGATTTTAATAAATGCAGAGGCAACTATGGTAGGAATGTGCCATTTCTACATAACTCTGTTAATGAGAAGAGTGGTACCTGTTCTGATTTGATAGATGAACCACTGATGAATCCACTGCCTCTAGCAATGATAGTATGGTAAAAAAAAAAAAATGTATGACCATTTCTAAGGCCAAGAAATAGTTTGTTCTTCATCATCTTTGCATAATTTTTTTAAGAGAACAAGGATTTACTTTTCTTTAAAATTCTTATTAGTTGAAATTGTTTGATTCTTCCAAATTATTTCTTTAATTGCATACATAAAAAAAAAATAACCCCACTAAGCCCTCCCCCTCGCTTTCCCTGGAAATTGTCCAGCTTTTATCTGGAAGCCAAATGCCTGAAAACAAACCAAAAATATTCTGGCTGAAAATCAAAATATTTTCGTCAGATTTCAGTTTTTTCAAGCAATAGCTATGTTGAGGATTCAGCCTTTGGCTTTGAGAGGAAAAATGGACACTTTTTTGGTGGAAAGAAGATACTTTTCATTGAAAGAATTGATCAGTTGTAATCTTCTAATTGGCTTCACAGCAGCTAAGTGGAGAAGTTTAGCACATAAAACTTTGCCTTTAATATTTTGTTAAGAATAACAGACTGTCCTTTGAGCATGATCAAAGCTGTGGTGGTGACAATATCATCATTGTTGCTGCTCACAAAAAACACTTTCCCCAGAAAACGACCAGCTTTGACTTCCTTTACCACCATCAACATTATTATGTGTCGAGCACGTGAGGAGACCTTGGCAGGGATCAAGGCTCTGCCACATCAGGCTCCATCCACACAAACAGAAAGATAGTCCATGTTCCAGAGAATTTAAACCCCTGTATCTGATGAGGCACAACAGGTGAAGGCAGCAAAGCCACACTGGGATCAGTGTGAGGAACAGCCCTCACTGCACCCCAGGTGCCTGATGCCATCAAGGCATTCTCAGGTTTCATCTCTTGGGTGAGTTTCTCAAGGGGATTTGAGGTTTTGTTTGGTCAGTTTTCAGGAGTAACCCCTTTGCCACCAAAAGGACACTGCATGGCAGTTGGACAAAGGGCTGGATCAGTGTGAAAGTGTATTTTGAGCTAAAAGTTTTGTATCTCTCATGTAACAAGCGTTTAACTGCATGGAGATGCAGCAAAGAGAAATGAGGCTGTGACAGGAGAAGGAAGGCCTGGGATAATTGTCCCCTTAGCTCTGATTCCCAGAGGAACTTGATGGATCCAGCCACCAACTCTTCATTGATTCTGCCAGTAATTGTAAAAAACAGCTTTTTCTGGAAAAAAAGTATGCCTTTATTACTAGCCAAGGCACAAATACCAGGATTTTTTTATTCCAGTCTAGTCCATTTTCAGTAGAGGAATGCTGAGGCCAGAGGGCAGGCAGGAAGCCTGGGTTGGATCACACCAGGCAGTAGCAGTAGTGCCACATCACCAGGAGAGCCACCATTTGGTCCCTGGACGACACAAATCAAGCCCTGAGAAACTCAACAGAGAACAGGATCCTGTGCTCTAGGGCAGTGGGGATCAGCGATTTCCCCCAAAAAGCTGTCATTTTTTCCCTCCCTGAGGAAGAAAACAGGAAAGTAAAGCCCATGAGCCATGGTGCTCTTCCTGAGGGATGAGTACAGCCCCTGGGAGTGAAGGGTGCTGAGCAGAAACACTGCTGCTGGAAGCCTATTCCATGTGGCTGGAAAAGTGCAGCCCTGGAAAAGCACAGCATGCCCAGGGAGGGGGCACATGGGAAAGCAACTCTTCGATCAAGAGAGGTTAACAGACTTTTCCTGCATTATTAAGTCTTAATTTCTCTTTTATTAAGCAGGTGCTGTGTTCAAAGTTGTTTTTCCTTTAGGGCTTTCCCTGCAAATTGGCTCTGTGTGCTCCATCCCAGAGCAGGGGCGCCCTCAAAGTGACCCTTTCACCAGTCCTGTCGTCAGAACTAAACTGGAGCAGGGCTGGGTTTTTCCTGGGCTCTGGGGGGATGCTCGGTAGGTCGAAAGGCAGCAGAGCAGTTCCTCGTGTGGCCGCGTGTGAAAAGAGCTGCTGTGCTCAGGTGGGCTGGGCTGAGCCTCACCCCCCTCCTGGGGGCCCTGCGACAGCTGGCGTTTGAAAGGCAAACAATTTCCTGTGTGTTTGTCACTCGTTTGCAACATAATAAGACATCAGGAGGAGTTAGAAACAACTGTAACCCAGGGCAGAACGCATGCAACTTTTCCGAGGTCTTGGGAGAGCAAGTGTGCCAGGACATGCCTGGTTTTATATCCCAGTGGTCTTGTTTAGCCCACAGACTGTGATCAGAGTGTGTCCTCTGTGCATAATGCACGCCCAGCTTCATCTGCATCTACCCTGGGACTGCCATTGCCAGAATAAATCTTTCTTTTCTCCCCTGCCATTGCTCACCACGCTCTGGGCTGGTGGAGCATTTAGCTCTCCCCTCCAACACCAGTTCTCCTTACCAGTCTCTGCATATTTAAGATAGCTGTGTTGTAAAATCAGGAGGAGAAACAAGCCCCTGTGAATAATTTACGACCTCACCCAGGCAAAATTAAAAATATATTTTACCATCAAAGGTCTTTGTTATTTCAAATTTCCTCAGATGTGAGTGGCAGGAAGAAAGAGGCACGTCGATGGAAAGAACAGTAAACCCAGAAAAAAAATCTCTCACTTTACTTGGCTGTCTTGGGCTCTGTAAAACATGGTCCTGGAAAGTGATTTCCTCAATAAAAAGCAGTTTATCTTTACGCAGACTTCATTAAGGCCTGATGCAGGCAGTCACTTGTACTCTTCAGTGCTTGGAAACCTGCTTCCTCCCACATTTCTTGCTGATGGAATGGACTGTTTGAGTGCCTGGACTGGAAGAGCAGCCCGAGGATCTTTGAAGGACGTTGCCACACCAGAGGCCATTTGACTTCAGTGGAACTGAGCCAATTTACCTACCACCTAATTTGTGCATGAATCATATGCACACATCTAATCTCATCTCTGTCTCATCCCAGTGTCTGCAGAGTGCTTTGGGAACAGACAGATGGCCAGAAATTCCTCAAAGTTCACCACGAGCTTCACAGTGTGGCAAGGCTGGAGGTGAGGTACATTAGAAAAAGCAACAAAACACACTCTGTGCTAAAATTAAGAGCCTTTACCACTGCAGAATGCTGCTTAGAGAGAGTTGCTCTCAGAAGAGAGGCATTTAAATGAAAGAAAGGCACAACCCAAGAGGGTAAAGGAATAGTAAAAATAATACAGGAGAGGAAAAAAAAAATCAGCAGCAAATATCAATAGGAGCTGCTGATTTTCAGCCCTCCCGTGTTCAATACTCATCACTCAGAATGTTTATGCAGCAGCCCCTGCTCAGGGGTTCATGGCCCTACAGTGCTCTCTCTGACGTCATCACTGACATATTCTGTGTGCACACACAGACCTCTCTGCAGCCCTTCCCTATACATTTTGAATTTTACTTAACTGCTGCTTTTTCAAAAGCCTACTCCATGTTACTTGTGCATCCAGCACGGGCCTTCTCAGCCATCTCTTCCTCTCTGCCCATGCTCCCTGCCCAGCTCCTTGACCTCCCTTTTCCTGGAGCTCTTTAAAATTCCTCCAGTTCCAGCAAGAAAGGATGTTTTTCCCCTTGTGTTCGGTTTCAGTCTGTGAAAAAGAGGGATTGACACACTCTATTGTCAAAGTAAGGACAGTGGCACAGGGCTGACAGCCAGGCTCCTGGGCTGAGTGGCACGTGTTTCTCCTGGCACACACGGGCACACACACGCTGCTGTCAGAGGGGCACAGGTACACACACAGCACAGCTGCTGAACTCACTTCCTGTGCTCTGGGGACTTTCACAGTGTCTGACAATGAGCTGCAGCCTGGCCCTGTGCCCCCAGGCAGCTCCCACACGTCATGGCCGTGGGTTTGGAATTGCAGAGTGGTTCAGGTTGGAAGGGACCACAGTGGGGGTCATCTGGTCCAACCTCCATCCCAAGCAGGATCAACCCAGAGCACATGGCACAGGGTTGTGTCCAGGTGGTTCTGGAGTGTCTCCAGTGAGGAAGACTCCACACCCTCTCTGGGCAGCCTGTCCAGTGCTGGGTCACTGCACAGCAAAGAAGTTCTTCCTCATGTTCACGTGGAACTTCCTGGGCATTGCTGGGCACCCCTGAGCAGAGCCTGGTCCATCCTCTGCCCCCTCCCTGCAGACACTGACACACATGGATGGGCTCTCCTCTCAGTGTCTCTTCTCAAGGCTGAACAGGCCCAGCTTCCTCAGTCTTTCCTCATAAGAGAGATGTTCCAGCCCCTTCATCATCTTCGCAGCCTCTGCTGGACTTGTTCCAGGAGCTCCGAGTCCCTCTTTCACTGGGGGGCCCAAAACTGGACACATTTGTGGGGCTGTCCAGTGCCTTCCCCACCCCACCACCACCCCAACTCCCCCCTCAGAACACAGCCCAGGTTGCCACCTACCTCCCAGGGTGGCAGAGATGAGGATGTGGGTGCCGTACTTTTTGATGATGGTATCGATGAACTGCTGCGTGGTGGGTCTCCTGCCCAGGAGGCGGATGCTCCTCTGGAACTCAGGCATGAGGGGCAGTGGGTTGTGGAGCAGGTCCCTCCTCTCGATGGCTGTGTTCCTCACCTTCCAACGGGCAAACTCCCTGGGTGACAACACAGGAACACAGCAGGGGTGAGGATTCCAGTCTGGGGGGGCAGGGAAAGCCACCCAGGGCAGGGAAGGAGGGTGGAGAAGGGGAAAATCCTGTTGGACACCCCTACATGGGTACACACACGTGAGGCCACAAGGTTAGGCAGGGTAAAAGGAGGAGGAGAAGAGGAAAAGTGAGATATTACTGCACAATAACAACACACTTGGAGGATCAGGGCATGGGCTGATGAGGAGGTGGTCTTGGAGTCTCCAGAGATGTCTGGAAGAGAGCTGGATTTCCCTACAACAAAAGCAGGCAGGTCCTTTCACCATTACACACTTTGGGGTCTTACTCTTCTCCATAAAGCAGCAAATTCTGGTCTCTGTCAGCAGAAGAGCTGGTCAGTTAGAGCACAGATCTTGCCCAGTCTGATCATTGTTATATCCCTGTTGCCCACAAGCCTTCCTTTTGCAAAGCAGAGCTGAAGGAAACACATTTTTTCCAAACATCTTAATCTTTCAGCACCAGGAGAACAGCAAAAGATCATTTTGAAAACCAATTTTTGAGATAAACCACGTAAAAAAAGGATCGATGCAGATATAAGCAGAGGCCAGGATGAAAGTGGAGGTTTTGTTTGTTTGTCTTAAAAAAAACCAAAAACCAACCCAACCAAATAAAGTGATTCTCAAATCCATGCTTTCAAACTGAGAGCAACTGGGGGGAAAAAAATATAAAGTTAATGTTTGCAAAAGCAGTTCTTTATTGCAGGTATCCATTTTGAAATGACACAGAGGGAAATGCCTGGAGAAAAGCTTGCACACCTGCAATCTAAAAATCAGGCCTCTGAAACACATCACCAGCTGAGCACCTGAAAAATGAGAAACCTATTAATGTCCTTCAAAAAATATTGAGCAAGGCCTTCTTAAAAGCAAAGGATATTTTTCATACCTACTCTCCTACAATGCACCTGCTCTATCTTCAGCTACCTCCCAGATCATCAACTCACAAGCTTCTCTGTCACTTTTCATTCACTTAGCCCTGTAGCTTGGGTTTAAGACAAAAATTTTATTTAAGGGTGTTGTGGTTTAACCCCAGCTGACAACTCAGCCCCACACCTGTGCTTGGTCACTGCCCCATGCTGGGATGGGGGAAAGGCTGGAAAGATAAAAGTGGGAGAACTTGTGGGTTGAGATAAAAGCAGGTTAACAGGTTAAGGAAAAGGTGTACAGACAAGCAAAGTGAAAGAAGGAATTCATTCCCTACTTCCCATCACAGGCAGGTGTTCAGCCATGCCCAGGACAGCAGGGCTCCATCACGGCGACTGGGGAAGACAAACACCATCACTCTGCACATCTTCCCTTCCTCTTTCTTCCCCAGGTCTATGTGCTGAGCATGAGGCCACATGATCTGGGACATCCCTGGGGTCGGATGTCCCATCTGTGTCCCCCCTGGAGCTCCTTGTGCATCCCAGCCTGTTCACTGGTGGGGTGGGATGAGGGGCAGAAAATCCCTGCACTGCTCAGCCATAGCTCAAACATCCCAGTGTGATCAGCACTGTTTCCAACACAAATCCAAAACACAGCCCCACACCAGCTACTATGGACAAAATTTAACTTTCTCCCAGTGCCACAGAAGAAATTTGATTAACTGTGTTTTCTGTGAATGGCCTTGTTTAGCATTAGTGGCTCAGCATTAGCAGCTAAAGCCTTCCCCTGACCAAGAGTAAACTTCTTTGGGAAAATTAATGCTGCTAACAAGGAACTAGCTGAATTTAGCTGATAGGAGTGGAATGAAGATAATTCCAAGGAGACGATTCCAAGAGAATGAAGTAACTTCAGAAGAAGGCCAGCCCAGTGTCAGTGAAAAACCATCAGAAATCAAGAACCACTGACCAGAATTAAGTGACTGGACTTGTGGTCAGACTTGAGGATTGGGTGATGGTGATACAGGTATGAATTGGGGAGGGGTCCCTCTCTGGAGGGACTGAGCTCCAGCTTTAATCTAAGAACTAATAAAAGACTAATTAGAAACCTTCAGTCAGACTTGACATTCCCAGCAGGATCCTGGGCTCGAAATATTGCTTTTTTTATGCAATAATCCATAACATCCAGTCAAAACCAGCACAACAGTAGTGACAACACCTGGCACTGACACAGCACTTCCTATCAGTGTGTGTCAACCTGCATGACAGTCCCACTTGGCTGGCAGAGCACCCCACATGCAGGCAGATTTCAGAGGCTTAGTTGCAAAGCCAGGATCACAAAGCAGATCTTTTTTTGCCCAGGTTGATTCTACAGCCAGTCCACCCTATGTGTGTGAGGTTATTTGACTTAAGGCAATTATACATGTATTTATTTTGATTGAGCCCCACCACAACACCCCATGCTGCCTAACAGTAGTTGTATCCATTAAAACAGCAAAGTGCCAGCTATTTACTTCAAAATACTCCTTACACCTGAGATAATGTCCCCTCTGCAGCTCCCGGGCTTCCACAAGCCAAGTCAAAATGCCAAAACAAAGCACACCTCTTACTACATGATTAGTCATTAGTGTCAGACCTTGAAATCCACAGAAACATCCACCTTTCCTAGAAAAACCTCTGTCAAAAGGCCAAAAAAACCCCAAACTCAACCCAAAATAAACCTGTTAACTAGGGTATTAATACCAGGAGTGACAGAACCAGGCCATTGTCTCCAAAGAGATCTGCAGATAACAAATATACAACAAATGCCTGTATATTCCCTGTATGGAGAAGAGTGTTTTCCCTGCTGTCCCAGAACTGTGTAAAAGTCCAGTGCTTGCAGGTCTCACAGTTGATTTTAATAATAGATAAAACCTTAAATATAAAGACAAATAGTTTCTCTCTGTCACTACAGAGAGGTTGCTCTCTTCATTCCAGACCAGAGTTGCAGTCCCAGAGCTCACTCCACAAGGAAATCCCCTTTGAAGAAGGAATGGTCCCTCCAGCAGTTGCACTGCACGGGAAGAGGCAGAGCTGGATACTAAAAGACAGCCAAAGTTTTACAGTAAACAGAGATGCCCATGTTCCCATCATAAAGATCATAACCAGGGAGCAGAGGAAAAATGCCATCTGTGCTTCCTCTTTAAAGAGAGGATTATTGCTTCCTGTAAAACTCAAGCACATGTTTGCTCTCAGATTTCTGCTTCCTGCAGCATCAATAAAGTCAGGAGGGACCAGAGAACTCCAGAGCCAGCAAGGGCTGGGTAAATGTTTTCAGAAGGGGCTGGATAAATGCTTCATGTTCCTCAATAAAGTACAGAGAGCTTGGTTTTGTTGCTTTGGAGTAGATAATTTAACAGCAAAAATCACAGAAGTTGAAACAGGCAACTGGTCGGATTCTTCTTCAGGGAACCTGTGGCTGCCCCATCCCTGGAAGTGTCCAAGGCCAGGTTGGACAGGGCTTGGAGCAACCTGGGCTGGTGAAAGGTGTTCTGCCCATGGCAGGGGATGGAACAAGATGAGCTTTAGGGTTCCTCCCAAGCCAAATCATTCTAGGATTCTATGATATATCAACCCCCAAATCCTAGGAGTGTCTCCATCACTGTGTGGAGCCAGACTGTGCAAACTGGGACCGTGGACTGGAAAGCAATGGGCAACAAAGGTGGGGGAAGGTAGGAAAGGAGAATGAAAATTTGGCAGACAACATGTCCAGAGGGAAAGTGGGTTCATTTTTTACATCAGGTCCAACATCACCTCGTGACACCACAGACAGGAGGCAAAAACAAGAGTTTAAAAGAAATCACTGTCACATCTTCAACCTTTCCTGCTGCCAGGGGGTAACTCCAGTTTCCATTCCTGCAGCTGGTGAGCCCTGAGGAGAATCCACATCTAGAGCAGGATGGGGAGGGAGACTTTTCCCACTCAGTTCTCATTCATGCCATCCCTCCCCTGGGCTTCCTGCTCCCAGGGCACAGCAGTGAGGTGAAAGCCCAGTTCTATTTTACTCTCCCTATGCTTGGGATGTGTGGCTTTCCCAGCTGATGAGAAAAGCTGAACAAATATGTTATGATGAATAATTTATGCAACTAACTTAGATGTTTATCTTCTGCTCATAGAATATCCATGAACCAGTTGCAATTCCCTCTAATTTATGCGTTATTTGAACTTATTTAGTGAGATTTTTCAAGCTTTTTTTATAGGTTCTGCATAGTATTTGGCTGTTTTCTTTTTCCATAGGCTGTTGATTTGTGGGGATTGGAATCACAGGAGGGTGAAGTTTGGAAGGAACCACCAGTGGGGTCATCTGATCCAGCCTCAATGGTCTAGCAAATGATATGGTCTTGTTAAGCTTCCTGTCTAATGTCCAATAATATATTTTAAACGTGGCTCCCTCATTTCCAATATTTTACATGGAAAGCAACCCTCTAATTCCAGCAATTTTCCATGCAACCTATAGAACTCTGCTGCAAGATGCACCTGAGGCCAAGGTTATGGTACAATTTTGGAAAATAGACTTAACATTAATGGATATGGCTAGTGAAATAACTTAGAATTATTGAGGTCATTAAAAAAAAGTGTTATTTGCAGGGAACAGTATAGATCTGGCCTTAGGGAATGTTCCAGCCTGAAACTCCTGAAGTCTGTGAAGAAACACCTCCAAGACCAGGGTTTTTATTAGCTTTCAGCATTAGATTTAATTGCATTTTCTGGAGAAGCAGCTGCTATTGGCCAAAACTGAATTCATGGCACTGGGTTAGGTTTGTCACCACTGAATCTTTCAATCTGCTTTCCACCAAGGCCTTGGAATCATGGATGTGTTGAAGAGGGCAGTGAAACCTTTCCTCACAGAAACCATTCTGGGATGGCACTTCACTGGCCATTGGTTCTCAGACCCATCAGTGCCACAGCCTGGGACACAGGGGAGAGGTCTCTGCAGGTCTCAAAGCACTTTATAAAACAGAAATATTGCCCTGTTCCTCACTCAGTTTCCAGGTGAAGAGGATGCAAAGACTTGTCCAGGATTACAGTGGCACCCCCTGGTCCAGCTGGG